CTTTCACAGACACTGAGTCAGATCAACTATAGCCCTAAAGAGGGCCATTTCCTATTCCTACAGCAGAGTAACAAGCATTAAAGTTTATGTCCTTGCCCATCTTCTGATCTGAAGGCTGCAAGATCAGAGGTCACGTCTTTAGAACTGCTGTAAGAACACTGTATCCGGGTGACCTTCATCCAAACCCTGGGGAAAAGACCACAAAGTATTTTTCCACCTGAACATCTCCTGTGCACCCACGGCATTTTTCCATAATTTACCCTTTGGAGTCAACAAGTTTATTGAAAAAGAAAAGGTAACTGAATATGCTTATTCCATTTGGCTTCTCCTGTTTTGAATTACCAAGGAAAATAGTTATGCCTTAAAGCCTTCATTGCATCTTAAGGTTTTTTTTCTGACGTCAACTACAAATATTGACTCCCAATCTATTTTCATGTGATGCCATATACAAACTTCAGCTAAAAACTGATTATCCCTATCACAGACCAGATCATAAGTTCAAGTTTTAAAAACGTGACATGTCACACCTTGTTCTTTTCTTATTTAGGCTATGTGGTGTTTTAAATCATTCCTCTTTTGGAAATTTCCTAACTCTTTTGAGACATTTCCATTTTCACCATTCAGTAACAAAACTCTGATATCTATTTCTTCTTCAGAAGTTCAGAATGTGCTCAGAACTTCGAGTATGGGAAGCACCCACTTCAATACCATAATGCTTACAAAAACCTGTCGGACTTACTTTGCCAACCCATATCCAGAGTTCACAGAACTCTGCCAACTTGCAGATCCATGAGTGCTCTGCAGCTGTGCAGTTATGTCATGGACACTTTTAACTCCAAATCATTTTGGGTTAAAAGTGCCTTTGAAAAGGTTACATTTTTTGTCAAGGAGAATTTAGAAATGATAAATTGAAAGAAAATAAACTACTGACTATATAAATTTAAAATGTACGATCAAATTTCTTCTCAGAACTGGTAATTTCTCCAAGTATGGCAGCTATGTCTGACCTATCCTGATTTCTTTGCCATGGTGTGATGAACACAAACTCTTGGCTGCATTTTTAGTTTGCATGGTGCCATGCAATGAGTGTTAAAGATATCTCGGTGATGACTTCAAACTGGGGCAATCATTCAGTTTCTCTTATTTTGGTGCACTACGTATGAGAGATAAACTTTGTAATAATAAACAGAGCAATTATAAGCTGATAATAAGTAATAAGGTAATTTAACACTGAATAATTTAAATGGTCTGTTTTTCCATAGCTGTCTACCCTATGTGAGCAATATGCATTGAAACCATACCCTAGTGAACAGATCACTTTAAAAGACAGAGGAACTTATCACAGGGCTAATGAAAGATCATTTTTCAATTTTAAGAATAATTCTCACTACTAGAAAGCAAATGTAATTCCTATCATTTTATCTTTTGTGACAGTTCTCTAATATTGCCTATGCACAGTATAATATTATCCTTTCCTATGAAAGTCAGAAATATTTCTTGTATTAATAAAATACTGTTTATGTTACATAGAAACAGCAAACATTCCAAGCCATGACTAGGAAGTCATAGGGAGAAAACCCTAAGAGTATACTTTTAGGGTTAACAGTGTCATTTCACATGAAAAGAATCTCAAAGGCAGTCACATAAGCTACTAAATATAGGGCAGTTGAACTTCTCCACCTTTGGGGTTCTTCTTCACATAAACCCTTGTGAATCTGCTATATTTGGAAAGAAGGAGGAACACCATCATAAAAATCTTCAAAACAACTTCTGCTATTTGTTTCCTAGGGCCAGACTGCCAGACATGCACAAAGAAACCCAGGAAGAACCTGAGCTCAGGTGCTGCAGTAGTGGGCACGGTTCACATTCCAAAAATTACAGATCAGATTGCAGATTGGGCATCACATTATTAAGAGTATGATGGGAAGAATGCAGAGTCTGGCAACTTCTGCCCTCTGTTGCAATTCTGAGAAACCATGATAGTAGTATCGTACAAGGCAATATTCAGAACATGTTCACCTGCATTAGAAACAGGAAAAGTAATTTGATGGCAGTATTAATGTATTTCCATTTTGGAAGGAATATCTGTAAATGGGAGAGTCACAGGTTTAAAAGAGCTATATCAGATAGATAAAGAGAAGGTCAAGCACATTACAGAAGGTATAGATAATGCGGTGCATCTAAGATATCTTTGCATCTGCAGCTATTACCTGTCCAATCTGTCCTGTGACACAGTTCTCAGTCCAAATGCTTCACAATGGGACACAAACACTTCTCTCTCCCTCTCCAGACAACTCAGTTTGCACAATTCAGATCATTTACCAGGAAATAACATTGAAACATTCAATTTTGGATTGACTGGTTTTGTTTCAGCTAACTGAAAGCAAAAAAATACCCAGACACTCTAAAATTTTAGAGTGTTTATTGTGTAACTGCCTATGTCAGACACCTTGAAGACTATTTGTATTACTCCCACTTAGCTAGCAATCATGCAGGTACACTTCAGTGAAATCCTGCCTCCAATGAAGACATTGCAGTTTTGCAACTGACTTCTTTTCAAAATCCAACTACAACTACATTTAAAGGGACAATGCAATCTCTTACATTGTTCTATTCCATTACAGCAAGGCAATATTACAGACGCTGGCTTAGAGATACTGAAGGAAGAAACAAGGAGACTGGAACAGTAAAACTTCTCTGAGCTGGAGAAAGAGAGAAGTTGGAATGGTATCTATCCCATGTGAAATTCAGAAGTGAAAGTCACAAAGGTTAACAAGCAGTGTTCAATGGCTATTTAGAAAACACCATTAGAACACCAATAAGAATGAAAGAAGACAAATTTTCTTCATAATAATATTTAATTGTTTAAACATGGAATTATTGATTTAGTTCTTTTAATACTATATATTTTTCCTTGCATTAAGAGTGACTGGGATATACTGCATGACACAGACTGTGCAGCTTCAGGTGCAATTCAGAGCAACACCTCTGACAGCAGTGAACTATCACAGACTTTCTTACCAACTACCTAATTATCTTGGATCTCCACCTTATCATTGTACTGCCCTCATTTACCCCAAACCAAATTACAGCCTGGAAGGAGACTGCAGTGGTGATTTGTGTACTTTATCTGATAAACAGTTACATCATGTGGTCAGCTCTGGAAAGGGTTCAAGAGAAATTAAGACAGAACCTTGTATAATTGCCCATTCATAAAGAAAGCATGTCAGAACAATGTCACTGATGTTTTGCCTGGGGAGAAAGGGATCCAAGGCCCTGACAATGCACCTAATGACTTTTGCATTCCCACGGTCCTTATACTATTCCTCTTCTTTGTATTTTCAATAAGCAAATGCAGAGTTGCCTCACATTTTCATTTTCAAGAACCCTGGGTATATGTAGACTCCACCTACTTGGAGGCCTCATTTTATTGCCATAATTATATATACATTAATTTATTAAATTATAACTACCAATTATAGTTATTAATTTAATTAGATAGTCATTAAACTATATCTTTTTCTGAATAGGCCTCAGATCATTTCACAAATTAAAAAATAATTAGCATCTACATCATAAAAGCTGAATAAAAAAGAGAGGTATGGATATATACAGATTCCACAGGAATCAAATGTAACTTCCATTGTACAAGCATTGCAATGCCTTCTGCAGAAATCTGCAGTGCATGTTGGACTGAGTCCCTGGATTTTTTGAGTTTTTTAAAAGTCAGTTCCTAGATTTCATTGCTAAAAAAGAACCCAGAAAATATTAAGCAACTATATTCAGAACAGAAGGCACAAAATATTGCCATATTTTGTTTCTTTTAATCTTAGATAGTTTATTAATTTTCTTAAGAACTTGCTTTAATTATGGTGATTTTCTGAAATAATAAGAAGTTCAAATTCTTTCCAAGTAATTTATGTCTTATATTGTGTCTAAATTTGGTCAGGGTAGCCTGAAGTAAATTAGAGATAAAAGTATAAAAGTGTTTTAAAACAAGCATAGTTAGACTGTTGTAAAAGATATTTTAATATTTATTGAATGCATATGGAGCTGGTTGATGACAGACATAAAGATATTTGGATAAATGATGTGAGGCTTAACAGGCCACACAGAGCAATGTCTCAACAATTAAATCTTCTTCTGACCCCTCTGTTAATGATGAAGCAATCAGGTTCTCTATGTATTTGAAAGAAGCAGCCCCGTAATTAGTTGAGTTGTTCTGATTTAGAAGTTTCCAACTGTGAACCTTCATCATGTGTCATGATGTCACAATGTGCCCCTTTTTCTGAATCCATTTTCCTCAAAATTACAGGCAGGGCTGTTCATTTCACCTAAATCTAGATATATTTTTAAAATTAGGTAAGTCTGAGTAAGTGTAAAAAGTAACAGCTCTTTGAGCTGGTTGGAAAAGACTGTCTTGTGGACTGTCTTGCTATTAAAGAATATTAGATTTAATACAGGTTTAATTCGTACTGTGTATCCTGCATATAATTCTACTGTTAATATTTTAAATAATTAATAGCAGTCCAAATAAGAGCAAATGAAAACAGAAATGGCACAAGAAGAGAATGAGAAGAGAAAGTGTGTGTGCAACACATGTCTCAGTGGAAATCCAGTTTGCACTACTTTTTGAAGAAATCATCCATCACTCCCAGGTCAGGAGCTTTTCATTTGTTGTTTCTGTGTCCTGGTGAGATAGACAAAACCTTTGGGAGAAGGTCCATCCCTACATGGGATGACACAACCTGGCTTCTGCGATCTGTTCTTAGAAGAAGCAAGATATTTCCATTTCTAGAATTCTGTATTAGTGGTATTAGTGTATTAGTGGTGAAAAATGGGCACATTTCAAAATCCTTCTGCTCTTTTTGACCCCTCCTTCTAAGTTTTCTTGTAAGTGATGACCTCACAAGCTGTGAATTCTGCATGAGAAAGCAGAGAGGGAGAGTACCTGCTTTGGGATAGTCATGAGGATTCAGAGATTGCCAGAAAGGAATTAGTTTCTCAGAATTTGAAGTGCACTTTATGACCCCCTGCAACACCAGTTCAGTAGCCAGAACTGCCTGCAGTCCCTTCACCACAGACCTCTAAACACAGCTGTCTGTGGCCCGAGCTGAAGCTGTTGATTCACCTCAGACACAACACCCATCATTCCTGTCTTGCAATCATTCCCAGCCTATAGTCACAAAACCCTCTGCCAGTTCCCTCTGTCCTGTCCTGTGTCTCTCCACTTATTTCTGTTCTGGAATCTTCACAAAGTTCTTGTGCCGTTCCCCACTACACTGTTGCCTGGCCTTTGTAGGCCTGGGCACTCCTAAGGGAATCTGCTTTCAGTCATGTTCTGGAGCTTCCCATTACAGACTTCAGTATCCCCAAATTCTCCATCAGTTTCTGATCCCGGCATCAAAATCAGCCAGTAGGTGTGTCTTTGGTTTCCTGGCACTATCCCGTTCTCTGAGGAATACAGCCTTGGGGTAGGATGCAGAAATTCACTGATTATGATCTTTCGGTCCATTTCCTTTCTTCCCTTCATTGGCTCCTTCTTGCCTCAAGGCCCTCACTGCTCCATCTTGGGAATGACTTTACAGCCTCATCCACCTCCTCATTACAAATCCAATGGGGTTTTGACCTCTCATAGGAGAGTCATCTGATGCAGACAGTGATAACCTTCCTGGTGCTGCCAATTGTCCTGTGCTTCACTGGACCGGAGAGCTGCTTTTAGTGGATTTCATGCACCAGGTCTTTCAGCCTGATGAGGGAGAAAGCATACATTAACTAGTCTGCTTCATCCCCCTCCCCCAGCCCAGCCTGAGAGCAGTGGCCCATGTGCTGTTCTGCCTTGGGTATTTTCATCATCTTTGCACCACACTGAGTCATGTTGCAGAATTTCCTAAGGAAGGAAAACGTGAAATACTGAGTCACAATCCCTAGAAAGAGAAATTATTGCTCTGACTGGTTTATCCAACTGCTTCAGTGTACTCATCTTTCTCATAACCTGCTCATTCTCTGCTATAGTACAGACAGAGGAAACCATTTCCCACTGTTCTTTTCTACCTTGGAGCCTCAGTTTCAGAGGAGTCCAAGGGCAGTCCTTGGGACTTCACTAAGAATCCACTCCATTGCCTACAGAAATGAAGCTGTATCTCTTGGTCTGGGACAAAAGCACAGCCTTAGGCAGGAATCTGTTTTCCACTGCAGTCTGTGTGACAACAAAGAGAAAGGACCATGAGGATTCCAGGGAAGGACCGGGCCATGGGAAGGGAGGTTTTTGAATGGGGGTCATTCCTTCTTCAGAAGTAAGAAGTGAGGTTAGCCTACTAATATGCAGGCCAGGACAGCCAAAGCAAAAAGAGAGTTTAAAATATGTCCAACTTAGACCCAATATCCAACAACTTTAAAAACAAAACAGTTTATTGAGGATACATTTTAAGAATGTAGTACAATCAATGGGGTGGCAGTGCCGGCAAAGGGTGATTTAATTCTGGGAGCAGAGATGAAGTGGGGAGAAAAGGTAATTATTAATTTAATTCTTTCAACCTTTTCTTCTCTATTGTGAGGGATGTATACAAATTGAAATTTTCACGCATAGTCGCATTCACAAATGCAAAATAGAGAACAGCCAGAGAAATATGTATACAAGGTCTGAGATGGTCAGGTAAATATTCTATTACTGTCACCACACTGAGGAAAAAAACATTAGTCAGGCAGTCTGGTCCCCTGTATTTATTTTTCTTTCTAAAAAAATTCTGCAGTTTGATTTTAAGACCTCTTCAGTGATGAAGCAGTGCTTAAAGAGTAGTGCTTAAATCTTTCTTTTTAAAGCTTAAATCTTCTAATTTCACATTTCATCATTTTCCTATTTTAATTATATATACTTTGCTAGGGAACATACATCACCAGAAAGAAAGCAAAACAGGAGTCAGAACTCTCTGTACTCGAGCAAGGATTTCGTAGTCACTGTTTCTTTTCAAAATCATGCCTTCTTTTGAATTTGGAGTGTCTGTCACTCAGTAAAGGGCAGTCCAGCCATCCTCTGTCCCGCCCCAATCATTTGTTTTGCTGGCTCACTGCAGAGCTGCCTTTGTGTGACTGCACAGTTAACTGCATTGAAAACTCACCCAGTAGAAAAGTGACTTAATAAAACCCGTGTTTAAAATGGTTTTGTCACCTAATACACCCCATTAACTGAGCCACACCAACACAAGTGTCAGCAAAGGAAAAGATGTAGGAGCAAGCATCCAGTGGCAGGAACCCTTGCTGAGGCAAGAGTGTGAGCTCATGCCAGAATGAATATGTCATCATGACCTCAGTCAGAGTTTTCACATCTAGCATCTATTTACTTACCTACTTCAGTGAAAAAAAGAATTTCAGAGGTGCAGGTGAGGGCTTGAAAGTATCCCACACTCCCTGTGAGGAATGTAGAACACCTTTGAAATACAATCTTATGCTGATTTGGGTACAGATTACCTTAAATGCAGAGATCTCTGTAGGGAGCATGCCCCTTGAAGTTGCTTTACTAATTGCTCTGCGGGACTGAAAATTCCACGTTCCAGTCTCACTCCCTCTTACCTTTTCTGATGCAGATCTGTTGAAGCTTCTGTCTTACTCCTGTCTTATAGTATATACCTACTGATACACAGTGTATTGAACTCTTGTTACACCATTCAGTAGAAGACAATAAAGAAATTTATTTTACAGCCAAGCACATTATTTATTTGTTGAATGTAACATTCAACAATTCCACTCGATGAGTATTTCTAAAAAAATGATCTTTGAACATCCTGAAGTATATTTCTAATGAGCACTTTCTGGGCTGAATGTAAAATCTTTTCAAGACAAGCAGGAAAAAAAGAGCGCTGAATGTCTTGGACAGCAAGCTAAAGCCGACCTAAAACCTGGTGCAGAATATATCTATATATCTATATATCTATATATCTATATATCTATATATCTATGTATGTATGTATGTATGTATGTATCTATCTATCTATCTATCTATCTATCTATCTATCTATCTATCTATCTATCTATCCATCTCCTTGCATGTGTGTAAGTCTATAGTAACTATCATAGGCCCAGAATAATTACTATCTTGGTGAGCCAATTCTTCAACCTGGCTTTTGGGTGTCTAGAAAGGAAAGGTGAAGAGCTTGAATGAAAGGACCATTGCTAATAGTAGAAAAGGGAAAAAAACCCACACAAACAAGAAATAACAACCACACCCCAAGACCCCCCAAAAAAAGACTCCAAACAAAACCAACACAAATTAAAATCAACACAAAACCAAAACCAAACAAACTTAAAGTAAAATCCAATGGATCTTACGATAAATCTGTAAATTTCAGGAGTGTGAAAGAAATTTGGTACAGCAAATGATAGTTGGGTTTAAATGTGAGTTTGAAAACTAGAAAATTGTCTCCTATTTGGTATGGTGAAAAGTTGTTATCAGAGGTGTAAAATGCAGTCTGGACAAATATTTTATTAGAGTGGGTAATTTGGTTTGGCAAAGTCAATGGCAAGGGTTAATAACACAGGAGATGGGGTTTTTCTCTGTAGAATAGGTGCTTTGCAAGATGAGTTGTTTCTACATTGGTGTTGTTAGAGCACCATCTAGAGGTCATTTAAAACACATGCTTGTCATTAGACTGGATTTAAAAAAAAAAAAAATTCTATTTACTGAGGCTGTTTGAGACAAATAGCACAAATTACTAATAATTGCTTAAGCACTGAAGTGGGAAATTCATTACATTTTCCACTGCACTTGCACCAGTCTTATAAAACACTTCTTGTTCCATTTCAGTCAGTTGTCAGCTACAGAAATATTCAGGATTAAGTGTGATTTTTCCACATAAGGTAGTGTCCTATTGTTATGATCCAATCACATTCATCCTCTTTTTTACCTTTTAGCAGAGATATACTTTTTTTCAATTATTCCCAAAAGTTTTCACACTCTTTCCTTGCTTTGGGGTCTTTTTAGCTACATAGGGTGAAAGTTCATAGTGTTTCTGCCTAGCAGCATCCAACACCTTTGTGTCAAATGGTGTCATGATGTCACAATGTGCCCCAAACAAGACCGTGGTGGTAGTTATGTCCAGACTCCATTACCTGAAAAGCAGCGAGGAGCAAAAGTGTCTTGTGCTAGACAGCAAAATAGGATGGGGGGTAATGCAACCCTGATAATTTTCCTGGGATTTGCCATCTATCTGATGAGTTTGTTCCCAGCCACTTACTGCTCAGAAGTTTTTCCTCTGAAAATCCAGAGCATGATTCGCACTACTGAGGATGAACAGGAAGAGGGAAACAGTCCAACAGCAGGTGAGAGGATGGGCTAAGTGAGAGGATGAGAAATAAGGGGCTTGGAGGGCAGGAAATGAGATTATGTGTGGACATAGAAGCTTGGTTTTGTACTAAGAAAATCAGGAAGAATGACAAGATATATGTCAGGGGGAAGTGGAGGTCCGATGATCCCTAAGGAACAGGGAGCTTGCAAAGGAGTGGGATAGCAAGGCTATCCCACAGGCCCAAGCAGGACAGGCCTCGGGATGGCAGTCAGGGTCAGACAAGAGGTCACCAGGGAGGTCCACGACATTGAGACAGGTCCAAGTTCAAGGAGGAATACCAGTCAGTGTCAGGACTAGTGATGGGGAGCAGGGTCAGACACAGTCCAGTGACAGCCCAAACCTACACTTACACGGGGCAGAGGACAATGGGAGACACAAGTTCAGGCCAGTCATCAATGTTAAGACCTCTTAGATCACCCGCAGCCCTGACTGCAGCCTCCTGTCTCAGCTGTCTCCCTCCTCACACCTTACAGAGACCTGAAAGGAAAGGTCCAGGACACCCCTGGGGACCAGGGTGAAACAATGAAAGAAAACAGGCAGACACAGTCCCATGACTGCCAAGCAAGTCCATAGTGATAAGGCATATTCAAGATTAAACCAGGAGGTCAATTTGCAGGTCAGGATCCAGAATAACAGGGTCCAGACACAGCTGGGACAGAGACAGAGCTGGAGATAAGTGTATTTGCAGCAGACCACAAATAGAGATCTGAGACCCAGACCCCAGCTTAAATGCAGCTCTTGGACACATAGAATTCATGTAAAGGCTCCAGACAGGGCTTTTAAGGGCTACTACAGCATACTGCTATAGTCATGGCCCTGAAAAGATAAAAGAATGTATCTGGGGTGACTTTTGTAATGGAAAAGTACAGGAAAGGAGAAAAACATGAAGATGCAAAGTGGAGTGAGGAAAAAGTGATTACTAAAAGAAAAGATTTAAAAATCAGAATCACAGAAACGAGAAAAGGACAATGGAAGCAGAGAGGGGGAAAGAGGTATGAATGAAAAGCTTCTTGGGATGAAGGAGAAAATAGAGTGAAGGTGAAGAGGTTTTGAAAGTTTAGAAAGCAAGGAGAATAAAACAGGAGGGACACAGAGGTAAAAAGGCTTCAAGTATGAAAGGAGTGAACAAGAAGAAAGCTTATGTTGTTTCCTTTTTCCCTCATTTACAGACTGGGAGGAAATGGAGGAGTCATTTGTGGCCTCATCAATAGGGGAAGGAATGGAGGTGATTGATATGGTGGAGCCTGAGGGCTCAGAGACACTGAGCAATTCAGCAGTGAAGGATTTGCTCTTGGATCTGGCTCTTCTCCTCAAGATTGGTTGTTTTTTGTTGCTTTTTTTTCTTTAATGCATGACCTAGAGCTTGAAATAATTTCTGTCTTCATGAATGATAACAATTGGAACATCTAGCTATATTTCATGATCACCCACTGGACAATACAGCTTGTCTTCATCAACCACATCCCAGGGAACTGAATTAGAACATTGAAGACAAGGCAAAGGACCCTGTGCACATATTGAAAGTGTTTTCCTTTCCTCCTGAGAAACACAATAAATTCTCATTTTTTTCTAAGCCAGACTTCCCTTCTTGCACTTCTCATATGTTCTTTGTGTAAAAAAATCATAGCTAATAATAAGAATTAATTCAACTCACCAATATCACCAGTGACCCTGTCTTTTGAACAGAATATTACTAAATTCAACATATATTGAAAGAACAAAGGGAAAAAAAGCGTATTCCAGGGAACTGTATCTCCCCACACACTTTACAAGACACATACAAGAAAAGTTAGACTCCTCAAAATGTATATTGTCAGTACCTTTCACTTTTTCTAAACAAAAGAAACACAGAAGCCAAGCAGTCTCAGAACACTGAAATAATGTCTAGATCATACACTAAGTGTTGTGCAGTGGTATTTGCTATTATGCTATTATGCATCTTAAAAAAGAACTGGACATGCTGCTAGGAGAAAACCAATTGGATGAGTGAAGGGAAGGAAGAGTTTTATGTTTAAATGGTAATGATAAGCACAAGACAAATTTTGTTATTTTTAATGTTATTTTTATGTTATTTTTTGTTTTTATTTTTTTGTTATTTTTTGTTATTTTTTATGATGGTAAATAAATCAAACTATTTTGAGGTATGCTTATTTTTCACTTGTGAAGTTCAGCTAAGAGTGCCAGACAAGTTGTGAACTGTACAAATACAGAAAAAAGATACAGGCCTGATGATAAAGCATTAGCAAAGTATTTTTTTTCCAGAAGAAAACACTTTATTAATATTTTTGGTAATTAATGAAAACAAAATCACTGAACAGTCCATTCTTGGAGAACATTTTACTGTGTTTGTCAGTACTTGAAAAGGATTAACACGGTTATTTTATCCACTTGCCATCATTCCACAAACAATCCCCAGGCAGACAATATACTAGGTAAAATAAAAATGTTCCCATAAACAAGAACAGTTTGAAGAGTATGCAAAAGGTATAAGTATTTTGTATACTTATTAATGTCAGTGAATTTTAGAACATTACTATAAATTTTCTAATGATGAGAACTTGAAATAGCTGTAATTATTACATTGCCCATAAGAATGTACTTCAGGCACTTCTGCTATCCCAAATCATGTTGCTTCTTACTCTGCTTTTGCTCTAAAGCAAATTAATATCTAAAATTCGATTTCAAGTCGCAAGTAAAATCCTGTAACAGCTCTACTCCTCTGCTTGGATGGTAAATATTTACAAATGTAGGGACAGAACCAGGTTCAGAATCCAGAGAAGCTCTTGGAATTCCAGTAGTTCAACCTTGAGAAACTTCTAGAAACCTTTGTGACCGTCCCATACTGCATCTTTTACCATATCCTTAACCCTAGACACCAAAAAACAGAGGATCTTGTTGGAAAACAAAGAAAATCTGTTCTCAGCTCCTCAGTTACCCTCCCATTAATGGGGATGCTTTCCTCTTTCCTCTTACGTCTGAGTTTTGCTGATGAAAAAAAAAAGCAGAGCAGAGAAGGCCTTCAGTAAACTTCATTATTAAGTCGCTTAACTTTCAGCCCACAAATTGTAGCCACTGAGTCTTTCCTGGCACCTGACTCCATTTATTATCAAAAGAAGAGGATTCTTCCCTCTCTTGTAAATTATGTGTGGTTTGCACAGTACCCCACAGGATTTCCCCAAGAGCTATTGTAAGGTATGAACAAGTCTTACAGCTCCAGTTTATTGACAAGCCCTTTCAACAGGACTGTGAGGCTGCTGGAGCAGACAGGTAAATGCACTCAACAGAGGGACTAATCATGTAACAGTCTTTCTGTTCACAACTACTCACAAGCTGTTGCCTACTAGAAACTGGCAGGTCACCTTGCTGCCCTAGGACTTGTCACACATCTGGGACAGAGCACTGTGAGCCTCAAAGGAGATCCTCTCCTTATGAGATCAGTTTGAGAATTTCCCTGCCATCAAATGCTGAGGAAAGGAGAGCAAGAAAAGGAAGGCAAAGGAGTGAATAAGAGCACTATGTCACCCTAGAGGCCCTAAGAAGAAGGTAATTATTTTCATGTGTCAGGCCTTCCTCTCCCTGGGATCACATCTCTCTTCCTCCTCTTCCATGCACATTACCAGATGCGGCATTTGTTGTCTGGGTTCATTGGGGATCCACTGGGGCATTGGAAGCTCTTGGAAAAGTCCTGGCTGTTGCTGACAGGCCCAGAGACACGAAGTGGCAAGGGACTATGTGGATCTGTGTTCAGGGAGGACTGGAGCATCTCTGGATCCTGGTATCCACACATTGCCTGAAGGGAAGCAAAATAGAACAGTCAGTTTGGCTGAAAGTCCTCATATGAACAAGACTTACGGTTCATCATGCCTCTGCATGTGTCAGAGGGTGCTGGAGTAAACAAGGAAATGTGCATATGTGGCTAACAATAATGGTCAGATTTTCTTTGGATTGTTTTCCTTTTCCTTAAACTTTTCTGTCCCCATTTCACTCTCTGACAAGTCATCTGCACTTTTTCTATACTGCACAGTCCAGTAGACAGAAAATTTAGGCCACCCTGTCTGGGCTCTTGCAACCTTGGACTCTGTCTAAAAAAGTGGTAAAGATGTCTCAGTGCCTAGATTCAAGTTCTTAATTGAAATCAACGAGTGCTCATCGACAATGGAGAGCACTTATACAAAATCCCATCACTACTCTAAAGACTCAGGGGAGGATTATATGATTTTACTGGTGCTAAACTGGCAATCCAAGTCTTCATTCTCATGACTGTAGTGGTTTTTTATCAACAAATGATGCAGTAGCTGCTATTTAGCCTCTAAAATGCAAATCTTGCTGCCAAGACCCAATAAGCTGTTTTTTCATGCACTGCTCTGACTTTAATAAACACACAAAACTTCTCACTTTGCACAATTACAATGACTTTTAAGTGTTTTTTTGAGCATAGAAATCCAACCATCTATCACGAGGAACTTGGCAGCACAGCTATGCATAGCTGCACAATTTACTGCAGCTTCCCACAGAATCAGCAAACTATGGGTGCATGTACTTCTAGTTCTTTATCTCTAAATAACATTTGAAACTCCTTTTTTCACTATCAGTCACTAAGAGTGACATGACATCCAGCTATTCATCATGACAGAAAGGGGAATGAGGGGAGGGAGGGACAGATACATGACTTTTACACTTATATTTCACTTTCCATTGCTCACAAAAATTTTAAGACTGAGTACTTTTTTTGCTGCTGTGAGCAAAGGCTGGCAATGAAGCCTGCTTTCCCTGACACAGCTGGTCTGCTATGACTTAATTTTGGTGGATTTCAGTGTTTTGTAAAATATGTATTTGCAGACAGGCCTTTTGTTTGCTTTGAGATCCATAACAGGTTAGGAGCTGTAAATATGAATTTTAGCTACTAAATAAGATTCTGTATCTCACAGAATCATTGATCATTTTCAGCTCTCTGAAGAGGGGGGAAGTGACTGAATATTGACAAAGACAAACTGTAAGAGTGTGGAAGAAATGGAGAGTGAAGACACTTGATTAGACTCATGCATTACATGAGCAAAACTGAGGTAGAAAAGTTGATCGTGTGAAAGTCCAATCTTAGGTAAATCCTTCTCTTTGTGCTTTTTCAACCAATTCTTATAGGCCTGTGGAGAGATAAAATGGATAATTATAAATCTTCCTTAGACAGTACCACTAGCTCATATCTTCTGTTAATGAGATCTATCAATCTAATACATATTTAATAAATTAGCAAGTTTGTATCTCTCTCCTCATTCTGAGGCTCTCTGCTGATGGCCATGCTCTTATTAAATCTAAAGTGGGAGAATACAACGTAATTACTTCCCTTAACATTTCAGACGCTACTACACAGATACTACCACACACGTTTTCATAGGATTTGGTAATTATACTATGAAAGAATGAAAATTATTTTCAAAACAGATCACAAATACTTGACTATAAATTAAATACTTCCTGCCTCCCAATGTTCTTCATGAAAGAATGTAACAAATACCATTTTAGACCTAGGGATCTCATACCACCCTCAGCAGTTAAACTCCTGAAGTACTGCATCAGAAAACAAAAAATTCTCTCTAAAGTACTGCTGAAAACATTGTTATGGAGTCATTTCACCACCACACAAAATTCTGTTTTATGTCTCAGCTTACTTCCTCAATTATAACATAAGCATATATACAATAGCATGCTTTCCATATGCATGATATCAACAGGGAAGTAAGGGTGGTGAAGGGGAGGAGTTGTCTTACAGGGACATATTGAGGCTATGAGCAAAGCTTTGTGAGGAACCTCTCTCTGGACTAACAGAGGACATGCTGGGGTCATATTTCACCAGCACAGGTGAGCAGGAAATCTGGAACTGGAGCAGGATGTGGTACAGAGGAGCAGCAGGGCAATCTTGTGTGTTATGCAGTGAGACTACAAGACTGTAGAAGTAAATCACGATACCTGGTAAGCGATGGCGACCCCTCCAGTGTCAGCTGTATTCTCCAACAGTGTGAAGGTGCCATTGACATTAAAGCTGTAGCTTTCATACTGTTCAACCAAGCAGTCTATAGATCTTTGTAGTGCACTCCTGTTGCATGCAGGACAGCCCCCAGGCAACACTGTGGGGGGAAAAAAGCCCTAGAAGTAAAGCTTTTTATGGCATTCACCTGTGTTCCTCATATTAATCACTGATTCTTCCTAGAAGTCATCATGGACAGAAATATGTTTTCCTTAAGTTCATCTACCTTAATAATATATTGTATATATTGATGTAAAGACTAGGATTTCAGATCCTCTTAAGGGGAAGTACCAGTGGGACCTAGAAGAGTAAATGAAAACACCACAGCCAGTACCCACCATAACCATAGAATGAGTGAAGAATTTCATGTGCCATGAAGACCCCGATGGCTCCAAAATTCACAGCGCTGAAAAATAAAGATGAAAAGAGTGCTTTTGGGAAGAAAACGAGGGCAGATGAGCATTCTTTGTAGCCTCTGAGCACAACTCTGTGCTACACAGGAGCGTTCTGCTTTGGGACCACACCAAACCATTTTCTATGTATTGCCACTGAGGTGT